AGTTGTGTATACAACCAGTGAAAACTCAAAATACAAACTTCTTCAGTAACAAAAACAGAGAAAGTTTGCGAATACAGGCAGATCTGAGCTAAACAACGAGAAAAAAAATGGATGAACTCTTTATTATCTGCCAGACATGTTAATTGGGAGACCCGCTAATTACAGTGCGAGTGGACATCCCTTTGATGTTGTATATCTGGTCAGACACATATCTGACACGACTGATATGATTGAACACCTAAAACATAAGTGTCAGGTGTCAGATCCTGACTCAATCCGTGCTATCTACTTGTTTGTTTGCACACAAGATAAGCAGGACGAGAAAGTAGATGGTGTACCATTGTTATCTACCCTAATGTTGGTAATATTCGTCGATGAGACGATACCCAGACACGGGAGGAGTTGCGGAGATTGGAAACCTAGCAACCTACCAACCGAAAGCATAACAGCATATAATGAGCTTTACGACGATTAATCATCTCGTATAATGAGCATACGACGATTCATTATCTTGGAATTCAAACAGAATAGTTCAACATATTATCTATCCTTGAACTTACATGTATACATGTACTTAATACTAGAATATATGGGGGGTTGGGGGGTAAACACATTTTTCTACAAACTGGTTTTGCCACAAATTTTAGAACCGTACTTCTGTTGGCTTATGTGTCCTTGCTTTGAGGTAACAATCGCAAAACACTGAACAATTTGATAATGTTTGTGAAGAGAATGTTTAACCTCTAAACCATGATATACATGAATATTGCAAATATTTTCACTTTTATGATCCTAAATGTGGGTGTAAATGGTGTTGTTTGTGACTACACATCTTAACCCAATTCTAATTTGACAGTACATTTCTGATTTATGCTATCGGGCTGGTCCAGATGTCATCTGTAGGTATCCAGATGTATCAACGGCCTTGTAAATGTACTATTATCATCTAAATATATCTATTACAAAATCGGTATGTTATTTCAGATCATGCGAACTCCTTTGGTACCACAGTTACCATCAGAATATTTAAGAGATGCTGTATAACAGAATAATCTGGAGAATATTGTTTTTTGAAGGTAATGTAATATAGATTTGATTATATCTATTACATTAAACGACTCTAATTATATCGCTCGCGTGCTTCCAATCCTCACTATTGGGTGTTTAATCTTATTTTATGCTTTAAATTGTCCCGCAAATAATAACATGCTATGTAGTTCTTAGGATTTTGACCACGGATTTAAAATAAATTCTATTTTAGTCCGTGGTTTTACGACCGTAACTTTCGTTCTGTATTTCCAGTGCGGAAGGGGTCAGTGGTAGATACGGGGAGCCGTGACAAGATAGAAGATTTATTTTTCTGACAGTTTGATGTTTACAAGTAAAAGTCTGTAATATTATAAATAAGGAACGCAGCATAGACGAAATATCTCAGCATGGTATATTACAGAAACAAAGTACAATATGTATCTTAGATATTGCATCACATGTGATGAAACCAAACTGTTATTGTGGTATAAACATAAGGAGGACGAACCATATAGCACAATAGCACAAAGTATCAGGGTTCGTATCAGCTGTAGTCAATATAGCGTTCTGTGATAAATAATATAACTGGCGATTAAACGCCTTTTTTTCGGCCAAAAAAACACATCATAATAAAGTAGAAGTTCTTATAACACAACCAGTAGAAGATTAGAGTGTGACGTTTCTATGACTACACAGTCACCTTCATCTTATAACACAACCAGTAGAAAATTATAGTGTGATGTTTCGATGATTACACGGTCACCTTTATCAGACAAATGACCAGTGTGGAGCGTCCTAACACTGACGTACGTAGTGCACGAGATCTACACGGTCACCTTCATCAGACAAATGACCAGTGTGGAGCGTCACCTTCATCTTATAACACAACCAGTAGAAAATTATAGTGTGATGTTTCGATGATTACACGGTCACCTTTATATGACCAGTGTGGAGCGTCCTAGCGTACTAACACTGACGTACGTAGTGTTCGAGATGGTACGACTGTATTATAACCCTATGTACACTAAGGTCGAAAATAGTGTCACGAGCTGGTAAATAGATAATAGACAAACATTCACTGACCGCCTGCTGTCTTACCCAGGTGAATTCACTGGGTTTTGAATTAAAAAAAGTTTTGAATCTAAAACAAAATCTTATAGGGAGAACATATTGAATAATACATATCACTGCTGTGGATACAAGACAAAATTTGTAAAACAAAGACAAATATGGAATGACATTGTCTTTAGCTATACGAGAGATTTCACGTATATTTAGATTCGCAGTAAACGAATAGAGGTTAATAAAAATTCTCCTTCCATTCACCAACACACAAAATGTATGCCTTAGTAATACGTAATCTTGAATCATCATCACTGGACATCGTTTAGCTCTGAGACTCAAACTGTGATGGTCAAATGACCAGCTCTTAGACGTTCTATGGTGCCGGACATGTTTATTCACTTATTCGATTTAGGAGGAATGGAATACATATACCAATAATAAATTGCACTCCGTAAAACCTATTATCGGTGAATGGTCTCCATTCTATAGAGACAACCACCGAGACGAAGTTGTCCTTGCCCATCTACGGATGGGTCATACATACCTTGCACATTCATATATGTTGAAAAGCGAAGAATAATAGGATGTGATGAGCCATTCACTGTTAAACATTTTTTATTGGACTGCATTGACCTTCTGTCTACTCGAGAATGTTTTTATCATAACATTACATGTCTAAAAACCCTTTTTGAAACTGTTGAGATTTGTAAAATTCTACATTACCTGAAATATGTTGGTCTATATAATAGACTTTGACGTACCATTTTAATCTTTTGTGATAATATACATATTTAAGATTTTTAGCATTTGTCTTTTACATTTGGTTTGTTTAATGTTTTTTTTTTCCCTTTTGGATCGCTGTGTGTTTTACCAGTTGATGGCCCTAATGACCTTTGATGTGTTGACGGGCCGTTAAGAATATAATAATAATAATAATAATAATAATAATAATAATAATAACAATAATGTACATGGTCTAACATCACGTGTGAAAATGTATCCATTGGCAGAATAGACGCCACAAATGACTGACCGACGAGTATCCTTGATTTTCAGAAAGGAAATAACTCTAGATAGTTTAACTTCCGCACGTGTTTACAGGTAAGATCAGTGTTGCCTGTACATCATGCAATACATTAATCACATTCTTTAACCATTGTCTAAGTTTTTTTCGCAACAAAAAGTTTTTTTTGCCAGTGACTTTCCAGTTCTGAACGAATAAGTTTCTCCTGATTCATCAAACATATCTCTTTTCAAATATAGATGACTTTTGGTTTCTATACATGTCAAGAGCTTTCAAAAAACATTTTATAGTTTATTTTTCAAATGCATACTTCATAAGGACACCCCTCACAATGCAGACATGTTCTCCCTTGTAAATCAGAGGGGGTCCGATGCCTCCTGTTTAAAAAGGATCTGTCACTCCGTGTTAGAACGAGACGACTGAAAGTAGATCCCTGTATGATTAGAGGGTTTTGATTATGTCGTTTACCTAAATATATCTAGTGTTAATATTGTAATACTTGAGATCTTGATAAGTTCTGTACTGTACAGTACTCGTCCTGGTGTGACCTTGACTGATGTAACGATGATATGCTCAGTTAGAGAAAGCCACTTGTGTATTGGTAATGTAATCCTACAGGTTATCATTCACTGTAACGCACGAATGCATATCTCCATTTCTTAGCACTGAATCATGATACAGGTAAACAGAGCAGGTGCGTAAATCACATAGCCGGACGCTTTATATAATAGAACTCTCGACCGGACCACTTACACCGGAAAAGCTACGTAAATACAAAGGTGCGTTCGATACAACAAGCAAAAATGAAAACGGGTAAAAAAGATTATATATCTGTAATATGACAAAGGAGACTGTAAGTTGTCCGCATTGCCATCAATACATGTACCTACACCAACCCACGACATGTTCTTATCACAGGCTTTTCACGACACTATAGATTGACGTGATCTCGACTAAGCCGTGATCGCGAATTTTAACATTCACGTGATCATGAATTCTGAAGCATTCCTTAATCGTATGAGATGCATGATAAATGTATTAACATACAACACAAATAAATATATAGTTATGATGCGTTATAGATCTCTTGTGAGTTATCATCACATAATCTCTCCTGTACTTTTAAATTAGGTGACTAGATAAACCGGCACAAGAATAATCACATATACAAGGTAATACCACTCGGTAAATCAACAGGGCTAGTTTACAGTAACATAACAACGTTCATTTTCAGACAGAATTAAACTGAAAGAATGATTTCTCTACGTAAAACACCCTTTCTGCTTCAAACTGTCGACGAAGTCAACATAACTTCCACCTGGCGGATTTTTCTATATCAAAGTTACGCTATTCAGTTTATCTCCAAGAGTAGTCGGTATAAATAGTGACACGCAAATATGTGAAACCTGTTCACTGTTCGTTAAAAATTAGACTCGCAGTCTGATTAATTTTCAGAGAAAGTGTCTTTAACATGGCCGTAATATGATTATCCTTGTTAATTAATTAATTTTTTCATGTAAAACAGTTAACCAAATAAAGATATACAGGTAGATTGACTTAACGTTATCTTATGGATGAATAGGTAGATATTTGACAGTGTAGTTGATGATTTATAAAGTTCACAGGTGATTATTCGCTCAACATCAACTCGGACCTGATATCTTATCGACAGGGCAACACGATCGTGCAGACCCACATACCGTAGTCTCGAGATGACTGTCCAATGAAATACCGGCGGTTAGGAAGTATCACTGACGGATTACTGGTTTTAAATAACTGGTGGACGAAGACTTTTACCCCAAGGACTTGACTGTGTTCTCAGTATCGCAACAATCGTTACGGTACGGATACGTGAACAGGTAGTGTGGCCTGACATATCGTCATCATGGTAGATACAAACAAAATAGTGGCCATATTCGTGGTTTTTGGAATTACATTTTTGTTTGGTGTTACACCGATATGGCTCCTAAAGGTGTTGTCATACAAAATGCAAAATCTGTCTCGGCTGCAGTACATCGTTAGTTTGACAAACTGCTTCGCGGGTGGTGTCTTTTTAGGCACGGCAATCCTCCATCTCATTCAGGAGTCAATGGAGATAGTTGAAGAAGCTTTACCTGAACTTGAATTCCCGTTATCAGGGGTGCTCATCGGCGTAGGATTCTTCATCGTTCTAGGCATAGAACATGCTATAGGACTTTTCAATAAAGACGACAGCAGTATTTTACTAGAACATGGGCACGACCACGGTCCAACAAATTACAAATCGAACGAGAGTGGATATCAGTCACGAGAATCGAGAGTCGCCCCACTAAGAGGGTCTGATGATGCCAATCCTCCACCAACAACTGCAACAAAAAGCACAGAAAATGACAAGAGTGCCCGTCCGTTAGATAATCGTGATGTGAATGAGACAGAGTTCTCTGATGAAAACAAATCACCAGCAGTGCGTGTTGAACCTACAACTAAGAAAACATCAACCATTGATACTTCCGGAGATGGACGTTCTAAAACGACAAGACGAATCCGAGCTGTGATTCTCGGAATTGCTCTGTCTATACACATGATATTTGAAGGGATGGCGATAGGCTTGCAGGATACAGTTTCCGATACCTGGACTTTAGTAGCAGCCATATCGGTACATAAAGCTGTCATTGTGTTTAGTGTTGGGTTAAAGATGAAGGAGATCGTTGAGAAGAATATCCGGATTATCGCTTATATCTTCTATCTGTCGGCCGTGTCTCCAATAGGAATAGCTGTAGGACTAGCGGTTACGAGCACTGGTTCTGCGGACGATTCTGCACAGAATATCAGTTCCGGGATATTACAGAGTCTCGCAGCAGGAACGTTCCTATATGTGACATTCTTTGAAATTCTCCAAAAGGAGCTGTCGAATGGATACAGTTTGTTGAAAGTGTTTCTTACCCTTGTAGGCTTCGCTGCTATGGCTCTCCTGAAGCTATTGGATAAGGACTAAAACGTGTTAGGGTATCAATATGGTGGGATACGTCATCAGAATGTATACCACCGCCAGTTGTCATGAAAAACTGTACATACATGTTGGGACATTAGCTATCAATCGAAACATATTGATATAGATTTTTCAATTTGAAAAAGAGAATCGTTTTGGCGTTTCTTAAAATGTTGCCGAAAACAAATTCTGCCAACAGTTAATGACTGAGAAACAAGCCTTAGACTGTACGATTTAGAAAAATGCTGTGTAAGATTTAGAGAGATGCTTTGTAAGATTTAGAGAGATGCTTTGTAAGATTTAGAGAGATGTTTTGTCAGATTTAGAGAGATGAAGATTTAGAGAGATGTTTTGTCAGATTTAGAGAGATGCTTTGTAAGATTTAGAGAGATGCTTTGTAAGATTTAGAGAGATGCTTTGTAAGATTTAGAGAGATGCTTTGTAAGATTTAGAGAGATTCTTTGTAAGATTTAGAGAGACGCTTTGTAAGATTTAGATAGATGCTTTGTAAGATTTAGAGAGACGCTTTGTAAGATTTAGAGAGATGTTTTGTAAGATTTAGAGAGATGTTTTGTAAGATTTAGAGAGATGCTTTGTAAGATTTAGAGAGATGCTTTGTAAGATTTAGAGATGATTTGTGAGACTTAGAGAGATGCTTTGTAAGATTTAGAGAGATGCTTTGTAAGATTTAGAGAGATGCTTTGTAAGATTTAGAGAGATGTTTTGTAAGATTTAGAGAGATGTTTTGTAAGATTTAGACAGATTTGCTTTGTAAGATTTAGAGAGACGCTTTGTAAGATTTAGAGAGATGCTTTGTAAGATTTAGAGAGATGCTTTGTAAGATTTAGAGAGATGCTTTGTAAGATTGGGAGGCATGCTTTGTGTTCGTGTGTTCGTATTCATCACTACAGAGGCTGATAATGTCGTATTTTGAGAGGACATACAATTCGGATACTTTGACCTTGTGATTTGTCGCCATGTATTAGTGAATTTACTACGTGATATTAGTATTACAGTAACATTAAAGGATTGAGAAATAACAACTCTATTGGTTTAATTCTACTTACTAATGTACATGTAGCATACTTACTCGCTCTCTTATCTCTATTAAACTTACTGTCTTTATACGTTAATTGTAACTGTTATGCATTGCACCATATAACCCTACTAACATTCCTGGCAGGTTTCTCCGTCTAGGTGGGTATGGTTTGTTGAGTAATTAAACAAATATTCACATCAATCGTATGAATTAGTCTTTCTTCATGCTGAAAACATTACATGGATGTGTGATATACTATAGAGCGAAGTTAGCGTTCTTATCTCACAAATAACAAATAGTAGTAAAGGAGGCGAACATAGATTAAAACACACCGATTATCTCGATATCAAATAATAAAAACGTATATCTGATAATGATAATAGACCACAATATATAATACATGATGATAGACCACAATATATAACAATGATGATAGACCACAATATCTAATACATGATGTTAGACCACAATATATAACAATGATGATAGACCACAATATATAACAATGATGATAACCACAATATATAATACATGATGATAGACCACAATATATAACAATGATGATAGACCACAATATATAATACATGATGATAGACCACAATATATAATACATGATGATAGACCACAATATATAACAATGATGATAGACTACAATATATAACAATGATGATAGACCACAATATATAATACATGATGATAGACCACAATATATAATACATGATGATAGACCACAATATATAATACATGATGATAGACCACAATATATATATAGACCACAATATATAACAATGATGATAGACCACAATATATAATACATGATGATAGACCACAATATATAACATGATGATAGACACAATATATAACAATATATAGACCACAATGATGATAGACCACAATATATAATACATGATGATAGACCACAATATATAATACATGATGTTAGACCACAATATATAACAATGATGATAGACCACAATATATAACAATGATGATAGACCACAATATACAACAATGATGATAGACCACAATATATAATACATAATGATAGACCACAATATATAATACATGATGATAGACCACAATATATAATACATGATGATAGACCACAATATATAACATGATGATAGACTACAATATATAATACATGATGATAGACCACAATATATAAGAAGGATGATAGACCACAATATATATTACAACGATGATAGACTACAATTTATAATACATGATGATAGACCAAAATATATAATACATGATGATAGACCACAATATATGATACATGATGATAGACAACAATATATAATACATGATGATATATATAATACATGATGATAGACCACAATATATAACAATGATGATAGACCACAATATATAATACATGATGATAGATCACAATATATAATACATGATGATAGACCACAATATATAATACATGATGATAGACCACAATATGTAACTATGATGATAGACCACAATATATAATACATGATGTTAGACCACAATATATAACAATGATGATAGACCACAATATATAATACATGATGATAGATCACAATATATAATACATGATGATAGACCACAATATATAATACATGATGATAGACCACAATATATAATACATGATGATAGACCACAATATATAATATGATGATAGACCACAATATATAATACATGATGATAGATCACAATATATAATACATGATGATAGACCACAATATATAATACATGATGATAGACCACAATATATAATACATGATGACCACAATATATAATACATGATGATGATAGACCACAATATATAATACATGATGATGCAGACCACAATATATAATACATGATGATAGATGATGATAGACCACAATATATAATACATGATGATAGACCACAATATATGATACATGATGATAGACCACAATATATAATACAAGATGATAGACCACAATATATAATACATGATGATAGACCACAATATATAACAATGATGATAGACCACATGATATATATATAATACATGATGATAGACCACAATATATAATACATGATGATAGACCACAATATATAATACATGATGATAGACCACAATATATAATACATGATGATAGACCACAATATATAATACATGATGACAGACCACAATATATAACAACGATGATAGACCACAATATATAATACATGATGATAGACCACAATATATAACAATGATGATAGACCACAATATATAATACATGATGATAGACCACAATATATAACAACGATGATAGACTACAATATATAATACATGATGATAGACCACAATATATAACAATGATGATAGACCACAATATATAATACATGATGATAGACCACAATATATAATACATGATGATAGACCACAATATATAACAATGATGATAGACCACAATATATAATACATGATGATAGACCACAATATATAATACATGATGATAGACCACAATATATATAACCACAATATATAACAATGATGATAGACCACAATATATAATACATGATGATAGACCACAATATATAATACATGATGATTAGACCACAATATATAATAATGATGATAGACCACAATATATAACTATGATGATATACCACAATATATAATACATGATGACAGACCACAATATATAATACATGATAATAGACCACAATATATAATACATGATGATAGACCACAATATATAATAATGATGATAGACCACAATATACAATACATGTTAATGATTTGATTGTTTGGCTAATCACGTACATCCAAGGTCAATACACAATACATAACGATAAACCACAGTGCTATTAATAGATTGTCCATTGACTAAAGTGGTCATAACCTTGTGACATTCACGCACTTTGATCAAGCAAAGACGTGTTCACCTTTAGAGTCCTACTGACTAAAACCTGTTAGATAATGAAGTTGCCAGCAGTTTGGAGGTAGTCGTTGGAAGCGGAGTAGGACCGACCTCATTACACATAAGTATGATACTTAGATATCTGTATAATGCACTCGCTTCTTTATTTTCTTATCTAGGTTCGAATCTTATACACTTTCTTAACTGCACAGGATAAATATTGTTACATTTTATATTATATGACTAAGTTGATATTTTTTATTTGCCTCCCTATGTAATTGTTTACCTTTAGACGTGACCTATTTGGGTGCTCTTATTCGCCTCCTAGATTTAATTTAACTAATCTCCTCTAAAAAAAACTCACAACGAAACCAATAGGGACACTTTCCAATCAAGCTGTATTTTGATTTCGAATTCCCTACCGTGAATATGCTATTGCTTTAAATGAATCCTGCTTCTTTTGCCTATGGTTCAGCGGACCAGGTGTTCGAGTAGGGCAAGTGTTTCCCGCTTTATCAGAAACATTCACCATGTAAATATATCTCCATTTTGTTCGACCTCAATATGCAGATTTCGAATGAGAGTTATTATGGTCTTATTATATTTTACATGGGGCTGTGGTTTCCATTAACCAATCGACACACGTCTGATATTTGCTTTCTGTTACAGGACACCAAAAAGAGCTAAGGAGCCGCAATACTTGAAGCATTCCTACTTCAGAATTTACGATAAATATAAGTATAAAATTATCACTCGAATGGGAGACTTCAAACAAGTCTTAAAGTGTGGTTATATGAGATAAAGAATGCCAGCTACAGTACCGTGTTTTTATCCGCCATGCTTAACGATGGATGCATGTGACCTGATGTAATATTAGTAAACACTTACTCCAGTTGCTTAACATCCCCGACTACAGAAACCGTCATTTTACCGCTGACTGTCATACAACGCGCCACGGAGGGTCACAGTATTACACCATGATTGCTGTGGCAAAGATCGGAACTATGGCTCTTCTGCTGGGGCTAACTTTTACTTTTGGAATCACCCCATTATGGCTATTAAAGCTGATGTCGAACAGAATGAATAACCTCTCCCGTCTTCAGTACTTCGTCAGTTTGTTGAACTGCTTCGCTGGTGGTGTATTTCTTGGCACTTCCATCCTCCATCTTATTCAGGAGTCGATGGAAACGGTCGCTGAATCTTTACCGGAAGTAGAATATCCGTTGTCAGGGGTGCTTATTGGCGCGGGATTCTTCATTGTGTTAGGACTTGAACATATCATAGGATTGGCCAGTAAAGGTAACGACAGTCCTTTTCTTGATCACGGACACGAACACGGTACAAATGATAAAAACTCAGTTGTACTGAACAAAATAATCCAAACCAGTCAAAATCGCGAGTGTAATGGTAAAACCAATTCAACGTTTGTAGAAGATGAAAACAAAGATGAAGAATTACGTTCAGTAACTTTAAATAAACCCGAAAAGGTTTCTTTTGGTAAGAAAGAAACACAGACTGAGGGGGAACAGGCAGTAACGCCAGAAATGGACAACAAAGATACGAATTTATCATCTATGGACCTTCCTGGTGATAGCGGTTCTAAAACAACTAAACGTATCCGAACGATTATTCTTGTGATCGCCCTGTCTATACATATGGTATTTGAAGGAATGGCGATAGGTTTTCAGGACACAGAAGTCGATCTTTGGACACTCGCGATAGCCATATCCATCCACAAGGTAATTGTGGTGTTTAGTGTCTGTATGAAGATGAGGGAAATCATTGACAGTAATGTTCAAATCATTATATATATCCTTTATTTGGCATCGGTTTCTCCGATCGGAATCGCGATTGGCCTGGCTATTTCCAGTTCTGGTTCAACGGGTTCCACACAGGATATTATTTCCGGAATATTGCAGAGCCTAGCAGCTGGGACGTTTGTTTATGTAACGTTTTTTGAGATCCTACAAAAAGAATTGACAAACGGATATAGTATGTTGAAAGTGTTCCTCACATTTATCGGATTTGGGGCGATGGCTGCATTGAAATTACTGGATAAAGATTGATCTATCAGTAAAAAACATAATTCATACTGACCGATAGGTATATCATTTTTAACAATCTTACCGAAGTTTGTGAAGAATTTGCATGTATTTATTTTAGAAGCATTTCAGTAAGATTAGAACAAATAATATTTTAAATGAATAGCTAAAAACTATGTACCGAGAGGCGAGATATAAACGTTTTATATTTGACGGTGTCGCGTGAACATTAAACGAATAGTCTTAACGCGTTCATGGATGAACTATAAACAATGTGGTATGATGTTAACAACCGTTTCAATTTGATTGATTGTAGAAGAAATAACAGTAAGAAAAACTGTTGTTGGAATAAATGAAATAAACCTTTACATACTTCCTGCTCATAATGTGACGTATATCAGCAGCGATGAAGATTGTACAAAAAGCAAAGCGAAATTAAACTTTCTATACGAATTCAGAATTAGAAATAGTAAAGACAAAGTTTGACATAAACTGAACCATACAGCTGTTTCGTCCTTCAAGGTCTCGTCAGTGATACTTCATCATATAACTGTTCTTTCGTCCTTCCAGGTCTCGTCAGTGATACTTCATCATATAACTGTTCTTTCGTCCTTCAAGGTCTCGTCAGTGATACTTCATCATATAACTGTTCTTTCGTCCTTCCAGGTCTCGTCAGTGATGCCTTCAAATTGGTCAAAACATTAAACCCACCATTAGATAAATCTCACTATATTGAATGATTCTAAAACAACTTCAGTTACAGCTGTTTATTCTTTCTAAATGAATTAAAATGTGACGGATAGGTTACGGAAAACGTTGGGACTAACAGTGTAGCAGCAATCTCGAAGAGATACACTTTTTATCTCTCAATACAGATCCGACATATTAATCGACAAAGATATATAGTATATCAGAGAATAGTGGGGTGAGTACAAAAAATATATCACCATTATAATTATCAATTTAAAACAGCCGCACATAATATTCCTTACAGCAGTGTAAATTATGTTTCATCTGTCACAAAATAAAGGTGACAAGGACGTCACTGATTCCTTCCAATATTGTGACCTTTCCATCCGGCGAAACTGATATCATTATGCGTAGATATCATGTTTTAAATAACTGATGTCTGATGTTTGATTTCATTATAAATTAGCGTTTTTTATACTATTAATTATTTTTCAGAAAAAAAAACGTAATATGGGAAAGGAATGATTAATTTATGCGATCGACTTCAGTAATACTGTGTGTTCCACAGAATGTTAGATACTCGGGTATTCTGTACCTGTTATCTTCATTGGACTTTCACCTCTTCGATAGTCTTCGTCAGTCAGCCATGTTAAATGGAACTTTACAAAAAAAAGATGAGGCTCATTTTCCATTTGATTAAACAGCTTAATTTATTTACGTATAAATAATCCGATCAGATAGTAACACAATAAAACATGAATCATGATATTCTACTTTTATAGACAAAAACTCCTCTGTTCATAACTTTAGGTAAGAAAAGAACCGGAGTAACGGAGGTAAGTACGAGTATTGAAAGCTACATTATCAAATATCATAGTAAGAAAGGAAAGCCAGCACGAATGTTGAGATCATCAGGACGTAAATCTGTATGTGTTTAACGATAGTTTACAGGCATTATGTAAGGTTTTGAAACAAATGGTCTTCACAAAATATCCGGTTTTATATGAATATATCTAAATAATATGTAGATAATTACAAAATTATAACAGGTTCAATCTAATACATCGGACTGCTGATGTCTTGTATCAAATAGAAAATTTTCACTACTATTGTGGTCCTATCGTACAATGATTTGGTAATAATTTTTGTTTTAAACAATATGTTGATATTTCCGGGGTACATACTGACACCCCTAAATTATACGTGTATACGTGCTATAGTATAGAAGCTCAATTTTACCATTATTTGCATTATTTTAGATCGATTTTAAATGATTTTGTAACAATCGTAAGATAATTAATGCACTGACATACAAGGGATATGTCATCTAGACCAGAAAAAAACAATTGTCGCAAAAAGGGGAAATATGTGATTATAAACGTTTTCACCTAAAAAATGAAAATGATAGAAAACAAAACAAAAAAAACCCAAAAAAACAAAAACAAACAAACAAACAAACAAAATTACTAAAAGGTCAATATTTATTAAATGTAAGCAAAGTAGAAAAGTAGACAGCCATTGATATATCGCTGAGAATAATCTATATAAAGATAAATATTACTGTGTGTAACATCCATTTTAATATAATACTTATAATTTAAACATTTATCATGAACTTTGAGAATGTTCATTTATGTTGACAGTTTGTTTGTTAAACAATTATTATTGTTAAGATCAGTCCATCGTTAACGGATGCTCACAATACACCCAATGAAATCCGACACAAAATACGCTTTAACCGAATCGTGATTAAGTGTGATGTTTAGACTTTTAAATACACGAACAGTTTTCTACTGCAACATATAGCTCAATAGTCTATTTATCAATAAATACAATAAATCGATACAAATGTCATTCATTGAAGTAATATCGATCTATAAAGAAGTGAAACTGATAGTATATTTATCAATATTAACCATAATTCAATACAAATGTCATTCATTGAAGTAATATCGATCCTATAAATACATCTAACTTATAGTATATTTATCAATATATACAATAAATCGTACAATGAAGTGAGAATTAACATAACGTAATATTCTACCTCATGTATAGTATTATGTGCATTAATGTTGTTGACATAAGTATAAAATATTCTATTTCAGCGTAAGATTAATCTATAAAGACAATTGCTTTTAACCGCTACTTCTTAGAAAATACAACAATGAAAATATATAAAACAGAATATTCTATTCTAAAATTATCTGATGTTGAAATTTAAAAAATATATTGAAATTTTGGTTAGAGCACCTCCGACACTACTTCCGACCAATTTTGGTTTTCCTCTGTCGTCGCGTCTTCAGCTTCACGATTCAGGAAGTACAACTGTTGCATCACTAATTTTAATGTTATTTTTGATTTTAATTCGTTATTTGAATTTTATTGAATCCAGTTATGATTTGTTTTGAAAGGTTTGGTGTCTTTGATAAAACTTTCTTGTGTTTATTTCACAATACACTACATTTAGAGCAACAGGAACTGTGTTGCCTTCACAGGAAAATATCCTTAATTATGTCCTGTACGTGTTTCTAGATCATCAAGGTCACCAGGTAGACATCGGTGGCTAGGAGTGGGGTATCTTTATCAGGAGACAAAACAAATAGCTGTCGTGATAAATAAGGATTGAAGTCGTATCTTATCAGAACGGTTGTGTACGGATTGAAGAAGTTTACTAAATAAAATTGTTGTGTTTGTAAGTAAGTATAATGGTTCGAATAGCGTGTTTACTCATGATGCTCCCGGGTTCGAGAGTTACCGGTCCTAACAATGTCTCCGTATCATCAACGTGTTTGTTTGTGCTACAAAAGAAATATGTAAAAATCAATCGAATTTCGGTATTTTATATCAGGGATTTTATTTCATACGGCCACGATGTCTTTACCTCTGATTGACTGAGTTGTGACAGCACATCAGAAAATAATATTATGTTTTATATAGTACGTTTTATTACTAATTAATCCGGCAATGATGAAATGAGTTTCACAAATATTCGTGTCTATGTGTTGTTTGTAAGATGACTTTGTATTGGTAGACAAACAGCCGCGAAGCGATCATTCCAGTTAGTAACTTGTTCTCATTTGAGGACATGACATTACTTACTTGGATCAACCAAGGTTGAGAAACATTCTATCTCTCTGTGCGACATAAAGCTGAACATATTTGATGCTCGTTAATTTGCATGTCGGTTCCGTTGTTGTATACCTTGTTCTCATTTGAGAACGTGACATTACTTACTTGGACTGACCAAGGTATACATGGCGAGTGTTGTCGATGAAGTAGAAGATGTTTGCTTGCTCATCCATGTGTATTTTTAGTAGTCTCTGTGTAAGTCTTTATTTTGTTCATATTTTGCTCCAGTTTCACTGAATTTGAGTTTGGATTATGATTGTGTTGTGATGTTGAAGTTTTCCTGTTGTTTTCGATAGTAATTGTCTCAAAATATTATTGTTGTTGTTTTGAATTACACATCATATATATGTGTTATTGTATTACTGAATTACATATGGTTTTTTTACAGTTAGGTCATGATATTATTGTAAAAATCCGTTAACGAGGTTAGTACCTATCACGACACTGGCAAGAACCGCGTTCTGTCCCTTTGAAAAAGATAATCTCCCCCTCATCCAAGCATCACCATGTAACGGATGAGAAGGATTCCCTTCCATTCAGCCCTCTGTCTGTCCGGTTACATTGCACTTGTCACTCTACACTGACCTTCAAGGCCAACATGAAATGTGCTTGCCTGACCCCTGTACCGAGGTCACCCTATAAAAGACACGACCATCCGGGCCCCTATGCTTGTTCAAAGACCAAACATTTTGTTGGCAAATCAAACCACACCAAACAAAAGGAGGGATGCCTTGCAATTGTGGTGGGTAATGTAACCGTCCAGCCTTCGGGCCTTCATTACAGAGAATCCCTCTCATCCATCACATGGTGATGCTTGGATGAGGAGGAGTTACTTCAAACCTTCAAAGTATTTTACAACAAAACCAATAAACCAACACCAAAAACAAAGAAAACTCAAGATTTTTCTTCACCCACAAATTTTATAATACTCAATAAGAACTACACAAAATTTGAATTCAAAGATCTCAGACAGAAAACCCCGGACATAGCATAGGGATGACAAAGTCACTTCCTGCTGAGCACGCTATCCGCGAACGACGGAGACGGTTCCAAATCCTGGACATCCCTCAAATAGAACCTATTAAATGTTCCACACGAGCTCCAACATGCTATCTAAAGAATGATCTCCTGCCAGCGCAGCCGATGGATGGAACGTCTCTGTATCCACTCCGGCTTCAGACATCATACCACGAATCCATCTT